GTGTGTGTCAGAAGCAACTTGAGCAACTGCAAGTTGCTTCTGATGTGAGAGAATTGGCCGTCTGCAAGAACGTTGCCCAGGGGACATCCAGGTGTGTTACCATCCTGTAGGAGGTTTTCTCATGTCCCCACATGGGAAGCTGGAGCTGACAAATGAGAGCTCACCCCATCTTGCAGTTTCAAACTGCTGACCTTCAAGTCAGCAGTTCAGCCGGCACAAGGGTTTAACCCATTGGCCATCTGCAAGGATGTTGCCTAGGGGACGCCCAGGTATGTTACCATCCTGTAGGAGGTTCTCTCATATCCCCACATGGGAAGCTGGAGCTGACAAATGTGAGCTCACCCCATCTTGCAGTTTCAAACTGCTGACCTTCAAGTCAGCAGTTCAGCCAGCACAAGGATTTAACCCATTGGCCATCTGCAAGGATGTTGCCTAGGGGACGCCCAGGTTTGTTACCATCCTGTAGGAGGTTCTCTCATATCCCCACATGGGAAGCTGGAGCTGACAAACTGGAGCTCTCCTCATCTTGCGGTTTTGAACTGCTGACCAAGTCAGCAGTTCAGCTGGCACAAGGGTTTAACCCATTGGCCATCTGCAAGGATGTTGCGTAGGGGATGTTGCCTAGGTGTGTTATCATCCTGTGGGAGGCTTCTCTCATGTCCCTGCATGGGAAGCTGGAGCTGACAGACAGGAGCTCACCCTGCCTCATGGTTTCAAACTGCTGACTTTCAGTTCAGCAGTTCAGCCGGCACAAGGGTCTAACCCATGTGCACCTGATGATGAATTGCAATACCTCCAGACTATCAGACTATTTAGGGGACAACAGAAACATGCTGGGATCAGTCTGTGCATGAGACATATGTATCCATGGGAATTGAGGAATGTGCCCAGAACAGATAACATTGCAGGCAAAAGAATGTGTGGATGATGAGAGAAGAAGTCATTCTTCATTTAATAGTCATGTAACAAGTCATTGTGTTTGTGGGTTTTTTTGTTTGTGTGTTTTCTTTTTGCATGGCTCTCAAGTTTCTTTCCTTTTTGGCTTAGACATTTATATTCTGCTTGCTTGGTCTGGAAAGACATTTCCAGATAAGGCAAACACTTGGTTCTGCCATTCTTCATAGGCCAGGAATGGGAGTTGTGTGGCTTTGCAGGCCTTTTTGGACAGCAGCTCCCGGCATTCCTCATTACATGTTTTGCAGTCTGGGACTTGCGACTTCTGGAGCATTCCTACCACTGTGTTGGAGTATATGAACATTTTCCAGAGTTCGATTCAACGGATGGCAGTGCTATACAGTGTATAGAAATCTGCTTCAGGCTCACAAATTGAGTTCCTCTAATCACTAGCTAAATGAGAGAGTAATTCAGGCTCTTATTGAGTTTGAGAGGCATACCGAACCATTTTTGTAGTTTCCTCTGCCGGCTTCAATCTTTCATCACTTAAACAGCCATGTATCTTTCCAGTGGTGCTTTGTGTTATTGCCTGTTACTAAAGTGAAAGCCTTTATTCACCGGCTGTATTTGCTGCGAGTTGCCTGTTAGTTTGCAATTGGACCACGATTTTAGTTAGGAGATGTATTGGATTGTGATTTATGTGAAATATTGTGTATTATGTTTTTTACAGTTTTAATTGTATACTGTGTACTGTATATTCTGTTGTAAACCGCGTTGAGTCGCCAGTTAGGCTGAGAAACGGCGGTATACAAGGACAGTAAATAAATAAAATAAATAAACAAATTTGCTGCTGAAATAGGAGGTAATGTGCTTTTAAGGAAATCTTCCAGTTCAGTATTTGCTACAGGTAGAACAGATGTAAATTCCTACTTTAAAAAAGCACAAGTTTTCCTGGGTTTTGTGTCTAAAATGGGAGGTAGGGAAATAGTAAAGTATAGACTTGAGAATAAGCTGAGTTTTTCAGCCATGTTTTTAGCCTGTAAAGCCCCCCCTTGGCTTATACTGTAGTCAAAGTTATTTATTATTTTACTCTGTTATTATTTTTATTACATTTATTATTTTACTCTAATTATTATTATTATTATTACATTTACATTTTTACCCTATTATTATTTTTACATTTATTAATTATTATTTTATTGTTTTACTCTATTATTGTTCTTACATTTACATTATTTTACTCTATTATTATAACATTTATTGCTTTATTATTATATTTATTATTTTACTTTATTATTACATTTACATTATTTTACTCTCTTTATTATTTTATCACATTTATTACTTTACTCTAATTATTATTATTTTATTGCATTTATTATTATTTCATTTATTATTGTTATTATTACATTTGTTTTACTCTATTATTGCTATTATGTTAATTATTTAGCTGTATTTATTGTAATTGTTACATTTATTATTTTATTCTATTATTAATATATTTATTATTTTATTTTATTATAATTATTACATTTATTATTTTACTCTATTATTGTTCTTATTGTATTTATTATTTTACTCTATTATTACTGTTATTATTACAGTTCCATTATTTTACTCTATTATTATTGTTACATTTATTATTTTGCTCTCTTTATTATTATTGGAAGGATACGTCAGCACATTTACATTGAAGAAGGCTAGAATAATGATTTGATCAGTGTTGGACAGTCTTATGCCAAATTACAGTTTTATGTAAATATTCAAAAACATGTAACCTATCAATGCCTCAATTAATGTAATTTTATTGATACCTCATTTTTATTTTGAAATTTACCAGTAGCTGCTGCATTTCCCACCCTCGATTTAAACTCGAATCAATCCATTTACTCAGTTTATTGTGGTAAAATTAGGTGCCTCGGCTTATATTTGGGTAGGGTTATACTTGAGTATATACGGTATATGGAGAAAGTTCTTTGTCTGGAGCTGATTCTCAATACAAGTGGAAAAAATATTTACACTACTGTATATTTCAAATTGTACCAATACATTCTTTTACTGAAGCATTTTTTTCCTGTTCCTCATGTGAAAACTCTTCCAAAACACCTTACATAAAGTCAGTAAAAAATCATCTCCTGCTTTCTGACTATAGATTTTAACTCTATAGTTCTATCCAGGAGGTCATAGAATCCTAGAGTTGGAAGAGACCTCGTGGGCCATCCAGTCCAACCCCATTCTGCTAAGAAGCAGGAAAATCCCATTCAAAGCACCCCTGACAGATAGCCATCCAGCCTGTGTTTAAAAGCCTCCAAAGAAGGAGCTTCCACCACACACAGGGTTCCGCTGCTGTACAGCTCTGACAGTGAGGAAGCTCTTCCTCATGTTTAGGTGGAATCTCCTTTCTTTCCTGTAGTTTGAAGCCATTGTTCCATTGCGTCCTAGTCTCCAGGGAAGCAGAAAACAAGCCTGCTCGCTCCTCCCTATGACTTCCCCTCACATATTTATGTCTCCTCCATCAAGTCTCCTCTTAACCTTCTTTTTTGCAGGCTAAACAGGCCCAGCTCTTTAAGGTCTCCCATTGTTAGTATGGCTTCTCATCTCATCTTCTTCCGCTGCATTTCAGTAGACCCTTCACTGCTGGGGACAATTATTTCAAACATTGGAGATGAGATTTTGGCCTGCATCAATAGGAGTCTAGTGTCTAGATCCAGGGAAGTCATGCTACCCCTCTATTCTGCCTTGGTTCAACTACACCTGGAATATTGTGTCCAGAGGAGGGCGACTAAAATGATCAAGGGTCTGGAGAACAAGCCCTACGAGGAGCGGTTTAAAGAGCTGGGCATGTTTAGCCTGAAGAAGAGAAGGCTGAGAGGAGATATGATAGCCATGTATAAATATGTGAGGGGAAGTCATAGGGAGGAGGGAACAAGCTTGTTTTCTGCTTCCCTGGAGACTAGGACGCAATGGAACAATGGCTTCAAACTACAAGAAAGGAGATTCCATCTGAACATGAGGAAGAACTTGTCAGCAAAGTTATAATCTTCATGTTGCATATTATCAAAAGAAAAAAAAACTGCAGCAGCAGCACAGCCCTGAAGTAATGTGGTCAATGAGAAGCTGCATTGTAGCATAAAGTTATCTTTATTGCTGGAACAGAAGCATAATACAGTTTCAATGCGGGAACAAAAAATATAAGGGGGAGAATACAATCAGGATGCAGAATATATAAACAAAAGCAATAAGCTCCACCTGTATCTGATTGGTAAGACTCAAATTACAAGCATACTAACAGTTAAAGAAGAAGACAATGATGCTGGGGAAAGTGGAAGGCAAAAGGAAGAGGGGCCGACCAAGGGCAAGATGGATGGATGGCATCCTTGAAGTGACTGGACTGATCTTGAAGGAGCTGGAGGTGGTGACGGCCGACAGGGAGCTCTGGCGTGGGCTGGTCCATGAGGTCACAAAGAGTCGGAGACGACTGAACGAATGAACAACAAAACAGTTAAAGGTACAAGCCTACCAACTATACAATGTTTATTTTCTAAAATATAGGAAATAGGAAAATAAACATAACTAAAATCATTCTATGAACTATATAATTTTGTAAACATTATAATACTTTCAACAGAACTTCCTGACTGTGAGAGCCGTTCAGCAGTGGAACTCTCTGTCCTGGAGTGTGGTGGAGGCTCCTTCTTTGGAAGCTTTTGAACAAAGGCTGGATGGCCATCTGTTGAGGATGCTTTGAATGCAATTTTCCTGCTTCTTGGCAGAAAAGGGTTGGGATTGGGTGGCCCATGAGGTCTCTTCCAACTCTATGATTCTGTGATTCTATTTGTTGCTCTTTAGTAAAAGCAATGTTGAGGTAGTGCTTTACTTGGTATTACCTAGAATGTATTGTTTCTTCTGGTGGGCCTGGGGACTTGCTCCATAAAGACAGTGCCTCCTCTCTGCTAAATGAAGAAAGGTAATTCTTCTGGTCAGTTTCTACTGAATTATATAGCCAGTTTGGGTTTTTTTTTTATACATGTGCAGCTCTGTCTCTTCTAATGAGTACTATATCTATGCTTCTCTAACCGTGGATTGCTTGTCTTTCACTTGTCTAGAAGCCCCGATGATCTCTCCAGCCACATCGTTGCTCTTCAGCAACGGGAGCTTGTACTGAAAGAGCAAAACTCTGCCATCTCCAGCAGGTAGGACTGTCAACAGACTTCAATAGGGACTGCAATGCGAAGGCGTTACGTCTAGTGCTGAGCTGCATGCACGCTGTGCGAGTGTGTACCAACAAATATTCATTTGTCATTCTGAGGTTGGCATTGTAAACAGTTCATTGGGCGCCGTATTTGTTGTGCTTCCGAAAACATTTGGGAAAAGAGCAAAAGCCACGGCGTCCAAACCCCACTTGTCTTTGCATTTTAAACATGATTTGAGTGTTTCACAAGGTGAGGATGTTGTTGCATAACAGCTCTGAAGTGACCTTAAAGGCTTCAAATGGAAAACACCTGATCGTGATTTTGGAGCATTTCTGGCTGTGCATTTTGTATCTCTCGTGTTTGGTTTATGGGTGACAGTTTCAACTGTAGGAATGCTAATTGGAGATGTAGCACAAAGGTGGAAAGCTTTTTTGATATTGGATATTGATATTGATTTTGACACTGGAATTCTAAAAATATGTGACTGACCACCTGTTTAAATGTTTTTAAGTCCATACAGAACTATACAAATCTTGCTAGCAAATAACAATGGTTGTGTTAAAGTTATTTTGATAGTTTAAACTTATTTTGTGTAGTATTTGTGAACTATTAGATGTAAATAATATTGAACTGTAGCTAGATTTGTGATTAGTTAAGATTAATGAAGTTCAGACCTTAGTAACCCCATGATTAAATGGACAATGTCCATTTTGGTGTTATGGATAGTGTAGTTCATCAGAAGTTGAGCGGTAACTTTCTCCTTCTAATATTTGACTGATTCTCTGGTTGTTTTACACTTTCCTAGAGACTTGCCAAGGAACTGACTGGTGTCACATTTGTTTTGTTAGCTGTTCCATAATCCCCAGGGTGCAAATATTTGGAGTTTTAAGTACTTATTAAAATATGTAGACGACATAAGTAAAGGATGTCAGCTGAACCTGCTGGCTTTGTAAGAATGTCCAAATAAAGGCTTTTAGTCTTAGTTTGCTCTTCATAGATTCCTGCCGAATTGTTAAATAGTAGGCTGGTGCAATCCAGGTAAACCTTGATCCGTTTCGGTGCCCCAGCTTTCGGTGGGGGCACCGATCTGTTTTTTGGAAACCTACTGAATTTGGGAGGGCAGATACTTGTTTTTGCTCTGTGGTACCAAAAGCTCTTTTTTCTATCGGTCCATTATGGGGTGGGGGGTGGGGGCAGGGTCCCCTTCCTGTCATTTTAGGCATTTACACTGTTTAAGGTATGACAACAAGCTTCTCGTCGTTCTCCCTCCTTCTGAGTGGAGCTGTTCCATGTGGCACCTGGAAGCAGGGACGCCTTGGTGTCTTTGTTTCAAGGCCTGTTCCTGGGGTGCTGATTCAGAAAATTGCATTGAAGAGACCACATCAGCTGTAGATTAGTAAATATGGCTTTCTGTGGGTGAGCAAGTGGTGACTACTGGATGGCATATGTTTTGTATCAGAAACTAGAACTGATGTGGTCGATCCAACGCAATTTCCTGAATCAGCACCCCAAATAACCAAGTTGAATCTAAAGTTGACCAAAATCTGATTCGTAAGCCTTTTGGTACTAATGCTGTATAGTGGTCCCTGGTCAAAGTAGTCCTTGTTCAAGTGGTCCTTGGTTAAAGTGGTCCCTGGTTACTACAAGCATTGCACCAGCTCTAGATTACTAAATATGGTTTTCTGGGGTGAGCAGATGGATGGCATACGTTCTGTATCAGAAACTAGATCTCAGGTTAGCCTTGAGATGAAGATGAAGGGAATCAGGAGGACATAAATAGTTGAGATGTGTGAAGGAGAAAAGGTATTCTTACACTTTGTATAAATCTATATTTATTGTACTGTTACATTTTGTTTAGAGGAAATATTAGGTGGCATCCAATTTACACTGGCCACAGATGAAGGCCTCACTTCTGTTTAAATCAGTAGTTCCCAACCTGTGTTCCCTGGACCACCAGTGGTCCATCAGAATTAAAATATAGTCCATCGCCTCACTGTTACTACACCGTTGCAACTAGAGCAATTGCTCTCACGAAACCCTCTTATAGTGCCGAGGCTTAATAAATATGATTTTCTGTGGGCAAGCAGATGCCAATTACTGGATGGCATATATTCTCTGTATCAAAAACGAGAGCTGATGTGGTCTATCCAATGCAATTTTCTGAATCAGCACCCCAAATAACAAAAGCAAAACTAAAGTTGATCAAAACTGACTCGTAACCCTTTTGGTACTAATGTTGTAGAGTGGTCCCTGGTCAAATGGTCCCTGGTCAAGTGGTCGAAAAAAGGTCAAGAACCACTGATCTAAAGTCTCCAAATGAGCATCAACCTTTTCTGCAGAATATAATTTGCGTGGAGGCCTCTGCTTTTTAGTGGAACTCCATCTCTCCAACCAAATGACAGGAAGGCCTGGCAATCACATATTTGGGCTTGTCCAACAAATTTCATTTGGGCCTTTTAAATTTCTAGTTAATTCTATCAGTAGTTTTTGCAAACATAAACATAACACTGTGGTTTGTCTTTCCAATTTTTCGCCACCAGGAAGTCTTGTGTATCTGCATCACAAGGCATTGGTTAGTACAGCCTTGACATAACAGAGCTTGCTGCTGGAAAATAGTTCTTAAATGAGTACAAAGTGGCAACAGCACGGTGTGGTAGCTGAGTGCTTTGGTAAAAGCTCAGCAGGCCAATTCTTTGTGTAAACACTTGAAATCACAGTGTGCTGTTCTTGAAAGAACACCTGGTTTCAGTATGTTTTGTAGCTGTTGACTCTTGCGGCTTATTCTTGATGCTTTAGGACAAATGTTTAGAGGAGTTCCGCACTGATAAGACTAGTAAAGGCAACATGTACTTCTGGAAAAGATTTCCCCCCCCAAGATTTTAGGATAATTCTGTGCAGGGCTGTCTTGCGATCCATTTGGTCTGTGATGAGAATTGAATATTTTCTCTCTAACATGCTTTCAATCTCCAACAGTTTAGAGAGATCCCTTCATTAGCTTCATAGTTTTTCTACCTGTCCTACAGAGCATCCTATTAGCAGCTTGGTAATTTTTTTATTTATCACTAGCCGTCCCCTACCACGTGTTGCTGTGGCCCACATTGGGGTTCCGTGTGGGAGGTTTGGCCCAATTCTATCATTGGTGAGGTTCAGAATGCTCTGTGATTGTAGGTGAACTGTAAATCTCAGCAACTACAATTCCAAAATGTCAAGATTCTATTTCTCCTGAACTCCATCAGTGTTCACATTTGGGCATATTGAGTATTCTTGTAGAGTTTGGTCCAGATCCATCATTGTTTGAGTCCACAATCATCTTTGGATGTAGGTGAACTACAACTCCAAAACAAAGGACACTGCTCACCAAACCCTTCCAGTATTTTCTGTTGGTCATGGGAGAACTGTGTGCCAAGTTTGGTTCAATTCCATCGTTGATGGGGTTCAGAATGTTCTTTGATTGTAGGTGAACTATAAATCCCAACAACTACAACTCCCAAATGACAAAATCAATTTTTTGAGTGGACATACATTGGGTTGTTAGGTGTCTGGTGTCCAAATTTGGTGTCAATTCGTCCAGTAGTTTTTGAGTTCTGTTAATCGCACAAACAAACATTACATTTTTATTTATATAGATGTCAGAAGCGAATTGAGGATACAATTATAATATATTTTAAAACATAAACAAAGTTAAATAACTTGACATTATACTACATTTCCTTTGACCAGAAGCTGGCCACTTGGAGTGCCTTTGGTGTTGCTATGAGAAGATCCTCCATTGTGCATGTGGCAGGGCTCAGACTTCATTGTAGTTGGTGGTCTGTGGTTTGCTCTTCTCCACACTTGCATGTCGTTGACTACACTTTGTGGCCCCATTTCTTAAGGTTGGCTCGGCACCTCGTGATGCCAGAGTGCAGTCTGTTTAGCGTCTTCGAAGTCGCTCAGTCTTTTTTGTGCTCAGGAGGGAGTCTCTCATTTGTATCAGCCACTGATTGAGTTTTTGGGTGTTCGCCTGCCACTTTTGGACTCTTGCTTGCTGAGATGTTCCTGTGAGTATCTCTGTAGACCTTAGGACGGTATTTCTTGATTGAAGGCATTGTTTTGCTGACTGATATCCGAACAGAGGATGGGCTGGAGATGTCCATGTCTTGGTCCTTTCATTACTGGCTGCTACTTCCCGAGAGATATCAGCTAAACAGTATTATTTCTGCAGCGGTGTAGGGTGTAGACATCCTATGATAATGCGTCATGTCTCATTAAGAGCCACAACCACTGTTTTAACGTGGTGAGATGCATTCCATACTAGGCATGTGTACTTAGCAGCAGAGTAGCAAAGCGCAAGTGCAGATGTCTTCACTGTGTCTGGTTGTGATCCCCAGGTTGTGCCAGTCAGCTTTCATCTGATATTATTTCTAGCACCCATTTTTTGCTTGATATTCAAGCAATGCTTACTATAAGCCAGAGCACAGTCCAGAGTAACTCCCAGGTATTTTGATGTGCTGCAACGCTCGAGTGGAATTCCTTCAGCTTGGTGCTTCATTTGAGCACTGGATATCTCTCCAACAATTAGGCTCCCTCTGTTCTTGTAGGAACATTATAATTCTACCTGGATTTTCAGTATGAATGTTTTAGAAATCTCCACTTCCATCTTTGTACATATTAACGATAACGGTAGAGAAGGAAATCATGTTTTGCTAGAAGTCATTTGAGCCGAGCTGTGTTGGCTGTTGGAACCAAAAACTAAGGAGCTCCTTAATGGGAGAAAAACTCTTACATCAATCAAAGCAGATAAAAATTATGACATTGTTTTTATTACATGTACTTTTCATGTATTTCCTATGTATGTAATTAATAACCCTTCCAATACAGCTGCCAGCATATCATGTACCTTTGGAGGAAAACTAATGAGGATTAGAGCAGATTTGACATTGGTTCTCTTCCTTTCTGTATTTTTACAGAAATACAGAATTTTTATCTTTTTTCTGTGTCATGAGTAACTTGAGAAATTG